CTCTATTCTTGTGGTATTTAATTGTCTTATTAAACCACGGGGGACACCTGCTTCGAGGTCGACACTGCTTGATCGGAACAGATGCAGCAATAGCTAGATTTAATGTATTGTAGAACGATGACAATAAGCTTTCAATACTACCGGTTGAGAAGTCAAGCGTCAAATGTGAAAGACGATGTTTTAGTAATGCAGTATTGATTTTATAAAAATCATAATAATTATTTAAAAAAGTTTGATTTGGCACATTAAGGCATTTCAACAAACCATGATTCATATGATGAAAGGAAATGCATATTGATAGATGATAAGGATCCTCAGGTAAACTAAAAGGTGGACAACGATTTACGTTAATCTCGGGAAAATTGGCAAAGCAGAGATCAAGCAGTCTACCATTACAATTAGGGGTACGATTATATTGACCCAAATTATGATCAAACAATTCACTAAAGAACACAACAGCCCTATCAGACGTTGAAGTAGGAACCAAACAGCTAAAATTATCAGTGTTACACCAATTGACTTGAGGCAAATTGAAGTCACCCAATGCAACGACCAAATCGGTGGGTCTAGACCGCTTGGCCACTTCACAAATGAGGGCAGCGTGTATCTTGTAAATGGAGATATCAGAATTTGGGGGAATATAGGAGCAGCTTATAAATAGATGTTTATCAGGCATATTCGCACGAATAGCGATAAATTCAACGTCAGGAGAAGTGGGAAATTCAATTAAATTGGACGGGACTGACGCAGATATGGCAATTAATACACCACCACCAATGCGATTCACTCGATCATTTCTAAAGACTTCGAAAGAATTATGAAAAAGCTCCGACGAATGAAGATCGGGTTTTAGCCAAGTTTCAGTAAAGGCCAAACAGAAAAACTCCGTGCTCACTGAATTTAGAAAAGTGGAACGAATTTTCGAATTTAGACCCTTAACATTTTGATAAATGAGAGACAGTGGGCCTGAAGAAACAATTAGTTTTTTGAAGGCGACAAGATTATTGCCTTGGTATTACGGGGACGATCTCGAGGGATAAATTCCTTAATTAACGATCCTACTGGGCACAGTGATTTGTTTAACAACATATCACTGTTTTCAGTCGGAATTGATATTTTAAAATAGGAGATTGCCCTAGCTTGAGAAGGAGCCATTTTGAAGATGCTAACGCGCTTTAAGTTGACTGATGGGGCTTTCGTCGCCAGATAATTTTTTATGTTATCCACCGATGTTTCAGGTGCCAGTCTTGACACAAATATTGCTTTTCTGGGAGGACGAAACGTCATTATTTGGAACAGGAGGGGGGTTCACGGTAGGAGACTTTCGAGTTGCCACTTTAGCGTAGCTTAAAACCGACGGACTTGCCGGTTTGTTTGTAACTGTTTTGCTACCAAACGACTCAGCAATATCGGAAACATTATTGTTCATTTTAGAGTTAGAGGGAGCGGTAACTTGCACCAACGAATCAGATGTGGAGAAAGCCAGAGGTGACGTCGCACACGCTACGCTACGAGTAGAAGATGAGTGTCCGATAAAACGACACTAATCAAAACTAGACTTAATGAGCTCAAACTTTGCCCACAAGGAGCCGAGATTTCTACTCAGTTCCGAGAAACCATAACGGGTCTCCGTGAAAAGTTTATAAAAGTCAATGTCCCGCTGTCTACAGTCAGGACATGACCATCTTAAGCCTTTAGACGGGTCAGCGTCTGCGTCAGCAGCACGGCCGAGAATACTGGCACACTTTGCATGACCAAAGCGCTCGCAGAGCCAACAAGAAACGAATCTATCAATTAATCCCTTAACAAAGATTTCATTTTACGATATTTTGCGCGATTTGAACTCAAATACTTGAACTAAATTTTATAAACAGACTGACTTGTTTCTAACATTCTTATAACTCATATACTAATAGAACCAAGTGCTTGCTTGCCCTATGCATGGCCCTTTATCAATCTCTCCCCCAAAAATTATTCGATTCATTTCAGCAACGAGTCGCAGCTGAAAATTCGGTCTAGCAAATTTTTTACTATTAACTCAAATTATAATCAAATAATGACCTCTTTTTTGTATTTAGTCTTATAAGAATGGATCAAAGCTGGCTTTTGGTCAATGCCATAAAATGAAATGTGCTGGTCTTTCCCAACTTGAATGAATGAACAATTTGTGATAAAATATCTTTACCAGAAAAACAACCAATCTTTTCACGAACAAACGGTATAATAAACGCTAAAATTACCATAAAATTTCAAAAATTCAATAAAGTGATTATTTAATTAAACCCAATATACGCAAGTCCATTAAATAATTTTCCAATAGGACCAATTGGCATAACTCTTAAACTGCACAGTCACAGCAGTACTGTTTCATTTGTTTTTTCAATACACGGCAAATTAATGTACCTCAATGGACTTTTTCTCTTGTTGACATTACCGAAGTATTTTCAAGGTAGTTATCTAATGTCGTACCTGAGAGTCTTTCCTAGCCTAAACCCTGCTTGATAAAATTTTATCACTCTTTCAGGATTTTTTTTATGAAGAAGTTTTAAGGTAACCTGGAACCTGAATACATTTAGATAATCTTGTAACTTTCAGTTTATTTATAATTTACTTACTTTTATTTTATAAAGTAAGGAAGCAAATCTAGAAAATTTAACAAATAGCTGGTCCATACTTAACTGGAGGAGCATTTGTCTCAACTTTGTCTTAAATAACTTGATTTTTTCTTCCTGTTTGTAATCAACGAAACACTATTTTTTAAGAAACATGCAGACTGTGATTTTTGGACGAAATGTTTTTACACAGCTCTCTCGGAGGTTTTTCTCAGCAAGGGAAGTATAACTTGTTTTTTTCACTACGACGAAAACTAAGAATTGTTTTGCCTTTTAGGTCTCTTAGCCTGTAGGAATTTTGTTTACAATTAACTATTTTTTGGCTTGTTTCAATTATTGCAATATCGTAATGTACACTTGTTTTCAATAGTATTTTTCTACTTCACTCCCATTCCACCAATTGCTTGCTAGGACACAAAGTTTTTTATTCTTATATTACGGGCAATGAATAATCAGTAAATATAGAATAGAAAGCCTCTCCATAAATTTTTGCTGTGTTTCTTACGTACTTTTCTTTATGAGTGAAATTTTGTTGCTATAATACAGTTTTTTAAAATTTCTGGCAATAACAAATTTTTGGAACCTAAGATTCCGTAGATTGAAGGGTACTTTTGTCGATTTCTTAATCAATCTTTTTTCTAAATATAAGTATGCTATTTATTTTTGAACATTACTTATACCAGTAACTTTGCTAGCATCAAAATAAGTAAACAAACATATATTTTCTAAATTTAAAATGCAATATGAATTGTACCAAGTCATGATCGCATTGAAATCCACAACTTTATTGGACATAGTGACCTACTGAACATGTTTTGTGTTATTTTTTATGATATTTTTTTTTAAATTTTCCCTTCCCTCAACTTTTACTTTTCCCACCACAAATCCTGATAGAGTTTGCTTCACTGTTCAATGTCTACAATATTGAGAATTTTTTTACTTTTTCGCTTCTTTACAAATTCTCATGCAGTGTACAAATTTTCGCCCAACTTTTCGTTTTATGAGAACAAAGATGATGAAAGAAATTCGCTTATTTGCTTTCTCATTTTCCTTATTTTGTCACAAACACCTAAACAATTGTTCTCCTATTAATATTTTTCGTTTTAATCCACAATCCAAAATGCAAGCGTGAAATCAATATCTAATCTGCGGATCGTATATAAGAGAACAATTTTTTATTACATACGAGCAACTTCTGCTTCGAATTGGATTATTTATGAAACTAATGAAACGCCAAAACCATTAAACCAAAGTTTACCTCCTAATTAGCATTAATCTATTATCAAGTTTTTAACCTTCAATTCCAGCAGAAATTTTTACGAATTCCAATTAACAATAACAATACTACGATAGAGTTGCCATATTATGTTACAATATGGTGTCTTAAAGAATAATGTTACCGCAAAATTAGCTGAAATGAAACAGGGACGCATTGAAAATAGCATTGAATTACTTGTTTATAAAACACGAAGTAAAGTTCGGTTAAAAGGCGATTAAAGAGTCAATTTTGTTTTTATCTGACGTATATATTTCCTAATTACGCATTATAAGCCATGAAAAGGTATCGATTCCAAATTTTGATCTCGTTTCATTTTGTTTTCGCTTTAAATGCAAGGCTGCACAAAATGGAGTATAGATAAGGTTTTTTATTTAGAATTCTTATAAGAAGTTGTAAATATCCTATTGAAAATCAGCTGATTTCCATTTTATGTTGCGTATATGAAATAACTTAAAAAGGAAACTAAAAAACATTCTGTATCTACCTTATTTTGCTTCGCTCTAACATTATCTTGCAATAAACTAGAATGAAACATCTGATTCTGTTATTTACGTCATCAATTCAATTAACAATTAGCACTCGTTAGTACATACGTATGTTAAACTGAAACGATCTACTAGAGTTAAGCATATCAAATCGTATGGATATGAAATGCTGCTTTTCGTTGATCACATATATGCTAAAGAGGGCCATTTTGTTGCAACCCAAAGATTTACTACACTTACATTGCTTATACAATCTACTAAATTGACGATTTTCACAAGTGTTTTCGATGTTAACGATATGAAATTATGTGTACAGAGTGAGAAAGTAGAAATAAGGCACATGGAGCAAAATACGAGAAAATCAACAGAAGAAGCTATTAACCTTAGTACGACGTCACGCAATAAAACGAAAATAAATGGCATTTTACAGAATTTTTCTACAGCAACAATTCCAAGCCCGACAATTGCTGGTGAGAGTCATTTGGAAGAAGCGCCCACAACGTCAAACAGTAAAGCGATAGTCGATGCTATTTTAGAAGATTTTTCCACAGCGTCATTTACAAGTTCGAGAAGCACACCAGAAAAGCATTTAAAAGAAATACCTAAACGTTGCTATAGTCGCAAATTTAGGAAAAGGATTCAAGAGAAAAGTGTGGACGCTGAAGTAAATACAGCTCCAGTGGATGATTTTAGCTCATGTTCCTCCATTGGAGATAACGACGATAAATTTAGAATACCCGCAAATGTAACTAAGTTAATAAAAGAAATTTTACGTCTAAGAGCAAGGAGTGTCGAACATATCCGCTTTAAAGGTTTCAAAGGATATCCTGATAGGCGGAAATAAAACTGCAGAATTTATGTCAGAATCTTCGCCAATAGAAGGTAGTAGGTTTTCTAAAATTCTTTACTACTTCATTTTTTTAAACACTTGAATGATTTTAAAGGGAAACCAAAAAAAATCAATTTTTTTTGAAATTTTTTCAGCAATAATTCCATGTAATGCCGTTGAAAAGAAAGTGAGAGTTTCTTGTAACAGCGATAAAATTACGCGATAACGTTCAAAGACAAAGGATAATATCAACAAATATCAAAAATGACAGTCAACTTTTGAAGCTGCTGATGACTGCCAAAATGATGCAATTACCGGTTTTATAATGTTGCAATTTCAAAGAAACTGCCAAAGTGATATCTTAATAACCAAAGGCGAGAATTTAACATACAATGAACTGTGATATGATCAATGAATGTAAATATTTGCTATTGTTTCGGTGTATGTGATTTATTCCTTCAATTGAAATCGGAGCTTTGTATTTTGTTATGCTAAACGGGTCGGTGCACGATTTATTTACTGCAATCTTAACAAGGAATATAACACAGAAGAACTGCCAAAAAAAAAAAAAACGAATGTTTAGTTGAAAGTATTTAAAAGAATCAGTTACCTAAATAACGCATGTTTTTAACAATTTGTATTAAAGGTAATTAAAACATAAATACGATCAAGGGCGAATTATGCCGGCGAATAAACTTCAACTTTTAGTTGGCCAATGGGAAACAATATTTGGAAGAAAAAAGATTCAAAGCAAGGCCTAGCAAAAAGTTTCCACAAATTCGGAAAAATCAAATTATCAATAATTGCAATAAAAATGAAATCAGTACCGCTAATAATGTTCAATTGATCGTCAGTTGTTGCGGAATATCGAGGCAAATTATAAGAAAATCTCAAAGTACTTTGGATCTAATATACTAAATAAATTTATCTGCAGACAATATGGATCTAAGCGCTTTTGTAACTATCGTTACTAGACTATTTACTAGTAATAAGAAATTAAATAACTAAGAAAACTCATTGTAAAGACTTATCAAACGGATCTGGGCTACAATCAACTAGTAGTCGATACTTTTGCTGAGGCCGAAATTCTATAATTTTGTAGTCACCTAAAACTAGTGCCTTAGGATAAAAAATAACATTCTGTTTATAAATCATTCAAAAATTTTTCTAGATGCAAAAATTATACAAGTTTCAAAGGATTGCATTAAACGTGTTGCCTATTCCAGTCATTATCGTGAAAAATTAAAAGGTAACGAATTTTTCTCTTTGTTTTAAAGCTTCAGTCAGCGGAGAATTTAGAAAATTGTTTTTGTCTGTTTTCTATTCATTTTATTCTTAATATAATATGTTAATATATTTTTTTTTGTACGTGCAATTGTTCTATTTATGACAACTATTATTTTTCATTTTCATCATGTGTTTTGTTAACTATATCAATAAATATAAGTTAAACGTTATAAAAGATTGTGTGCGTGTGCTATAGTTTTTCTTAACGTTGTTTTTGAATTCACTTCCAATTCAGCCACCGTAGTGCTAAGTTTATTTTTGGCTTTAGGGAAATTTGAGTAACCGTTATTAATTTTAAAACAATTGATGTAAAAGCAAATCAATTGTTTTTATAAATGAAAATGGTTCGGATTGGTTCGACCCATAGAACGACTTATTTTGCAAAGTCGTTACATGAAAAAAAATTGCAATTCTCAAAATTTCGCGACAAAAGTCGCTGCCTAATGGTAATTAGGTGTTTTAAATTGGTATGATCAAATTTGAAGCACGTTGGTCTATTATTATTATTATTATTATAAACTTAGTCAGAGAATAAATTCTAAGACTAAAGTCTTAAAGCACTAGCATCTAAGGCTTTCGGCTTTATTAAAAACTCTACCGCACTTGAGATTTGAACCCACGACCATTGAGTTGGTAGTCGAGACTCTTGCCTATTCGGCCACTCAGGCGGGTAGCACGTTGGTCTATTTCTGGAACCGGACTCCATATAATATTTTTCATTAACAGTAAGCCCCTCAGAAAAAGACTCCATTATATATTAAGTTAGCGCGAACGTAGGTAACAGGCAGGAAGATAGACCCACCCTTTACTATACCGATCGATCCAGAATCATAATTTGAATTGATCTAAGCCTGTCCGTCTGATGCCTGTCAATGTAAATTTGTGTTCAAGCGGTCCGGTGTCAAAGCGACTAAGTAGTAGTTTTTCGGCATTCTAAATTGTGAAAACTTTGGACCGGCTGGGAAAATTTTATGAATCCTCTCTTAAATAACAAAAATTGAAGTTCATATCAGAAAAAAATATAATTTAACATACAAAAATTAACTGTACCAAATTCGAACTATTTCGATATTATTCTTTGGATCCTTCTCAAATAAGCAAATTCACGAAAATTGATCCTTTGTAGAGTAGAAAAGTCTAAGTTTTGATATGTGGTGATAGAAATGGCCCCATAATATTATGGCAATTTCATGTAAAAACGAATTCGACAAAATTTCGACCATTTACGTCTATTGTTGGATCCTGTGCTATTTAAGGATTAAATTTTTATTACATTACGTTGCGATTTGGACCCGCTTCAAAAATATCCACGTGAAAAATATGCCTGTATATAGAAGTAAGACACAATTTTTATGTGTTATATTAAAAATAAGAATTATGTGAGACAATAGGGTGCAGAGTATTTAACAGTTGGCCTTGCCCAACTATAATGTTCTTACTTGTTTTTATTAGTTTACGTTGAAAATTGGGGTCCATAGTAGCAATCGGGCAAAAAAATTAACGACACGGAATTTGAATCACATAGGTTTTTTTTTTTAGAACCCAATATAAATAGGGATCATCTTTGAAGAAAAGCAAGCCTTTGTACGGACAGAAAATTCAATTTATAGTCTTTTATGGTGCAAACTGAAAAATTATACAATTTTTAGAAAGTAAATTAAGTTTGCTAGATTTGGATCACGCCACGTGATATTTGGGTCAGTCTCCAATATGTCGACTTTCATGAGAAGTTTGCGTTTGCGGAAGCATAGTTCAATGTTGGTCTAATTAAAGACGTACAATGTACGGATCTTCAAATTCTTTTGATCATCGTTTAAGAAAGCTTAATATAGAGCTTTCTTTGTTTATGGACATTTCAATATGTGAACTAAATATCAGTCAAAACTAAATATCAACTATCAATAAACAATGGTACAACAACAATGGTAAACAATGGTATTTCGGTTTATATAAAACAATGAAATGCTTTATTAGAACAAATTCGTTCTCGAGACAATGACAATTTCTTACATTTATTCAAATTTAATAAGCATCATCTAGTTAAACTTTCTCAATTAGGCTGAAGAATTTTGGAATTGAATTCCGAGTTTAAGGAAGTGAACACTTTTAATTCGGAAACATGCATCAAGATGGGGGATGAATTGATCACGTAATTCTTTTTGTTTTTTTTTAGAATCAAATCTCATACCAGAGCTCTGATTATATTTAGGGAAGCCTTGGGGGTAATGTACAGGCATATTAATCCTACCAAATCCTGATTCCTAACTAAAATAGTTTATCAGCATAATTTAATGTCACACGAAAAATTTATGTCAAGAACACAATTTATCCTGAATATGGTTTACTCCACAATTTGTTTGTCGACATATTTGTGCACTGAACTGGGCTGTGTTGGTAATTATACAATGGTTTATTTTATTTTATTTAAAGAAATCTCCGCGTTTGTCATAATAAATAGTCATTCACTTTTGCTTATATTAAACAAATAATTACATTTTTTTTCGATCATTGCCGGGGTGCGTGGAATCGACGTTGCTTTTTCTTAAGCATGCCTTTAGGTAGGCAATTATAAACACTATCAAAACTTGTATAAGTTCGAATCTGGACCTAATTTAAATTATATGGTACGCAAAAAGTATATTTTTTATATATATCCAGGATGTAAATTTCATTTTTGAATTGTTAAAAAGATATACCAAGCCTTATTTACAAAAAAAAAAAATTTCTTTTTCTTCTTTTCAATAGTCATGTTACCAACTACTGTGAAAATATGCATTCGATTTTAACTAGTAAAGACATTTACCAGCTACGTTAACAGAGTTCTGCTCATGAATAAATGCCTTAATTTTTGTAGCTATCATCAAAAAAAAATGATTTGATCGTTTTCATCGTAGAAATTTCATCATTAAAGATTAGTCGAACTGTAAGAAAAGTTGATTTTAATATTGATGAAAAAACAAGCCACCAGTTATTTTCGCTTTACTTTACTTATCGCTTCTGGACTCTTCTATTAATTACTAAAAATTGTGCTTTTATTTTTTTAGGTTTTGTTATTTAAATTTTATATTTGATATATTTTTTATATTTTCATATGAAAGAAAAGAAAATGTACTGGTTTTTAGGATTAAATTCCAAGCTTAGTCCGAAGAACAAAGTTTTACGCCAGTTTGGACGTATGCGCTGCAGCCATGGCGGACGTCCAGAAATCCTAAGGTAGAAATATTGCAAAGTTGTCAGTCCAAATCTTTAACAGTAATCAATTGCTTCTTGGTTTTTGAGCAATCACATTTTATATGTCGAAGAAGACAAAGAAGCGAAAGTGCTCGAACAATTATTTAACAGCTTCCGATTAATGGACATATTTTGACAGCATACAAACAAACAGAGTGACAGTTAAAGTAATCGATATATCGTATTAGCCAGCATTCAAACCATATGAATCCGGGTCACTTTGTTTTACGCAGATAACATGTTCGCAACATATTGTGTGAAGTATGAAATTTGATTAATTATAATATAATTACACCAATTTTTCTCAATAAGTCCTTTTTTCAAGTAAAAAAATGATTAAATTACATGCAAGCACCTAATAGATATATTTTAGCGGATTTAAAAAATAGACAGCCACCGCTGCTGATTATGTTTTTTGCATAACGAGTATTTACTAGATTTCTCGACAATTCGGCAGCGTTCACCTCTCCTCACGGCTCAACATTGACTACCTTTTCAGATAATTGGATGCCGGCGACTTCCACTGATATTTCGATACTGTTTTCTCCTTTTGAATTCGGTTACTGCTTATTACTTCTGACCTCGTATCTCATCACTTTCCATTTCTTAATATTTGCACATGAATTGCCTTTTTTGCAACAATATATCGTTCAATTTGGTGAATTGAGGTTAGCAGACACCTGCACCAACAGGTTCATTCCATTTTAGCAGCTCTACAGCTAATACACGACACCTTGTAGATCCATGAATATTCCGCTTTATCATTATATATATATATACATATAGATATATATATATACATATATTAAAATGGCAATAAGACCTGAACGGATTAAAAAATATATATATGTTTTGTATTTTCTTTTTTAAACGGAAGGGTATCATCTTCTGATAATGTTGTAGGTATTAACTACAAAGTGTAAAATCAAGTTTCTTTTAGCTGATATCAATAAACAAAACGAATTGAGTAAGGAAACTATTTACGAAAAAGAAGTCTTATCTACAAACATTACGCATTGAATTCAACGCTGAGTTAACGGATAACATTAACATTTTGCTTGAAAGGAATTTGCACCAATCAAATAGAAGGGAATTACAAATTTTAATGTCGTATATTATTGATCACTTTTTTTGAACGCGATTTATCGAATTTTGATAACAGACAAGAGAGGGCTATGAAAATTATTATACATTAAATATGCGGGCCAACTGTTTCATAAAAATTTTGATACCTTGTTATTAGCGGTAGTGATGGAAACGTATCACATGGCCGACGATATTGACAGCGGTAAATCTATTGTCCTTGCGAAAAGTGGATTAGTGTTTTAAGGATCTTTGTACGATCATAATATGCTACCTACTCCCCGTATGTTGACTTATAAACGGGTTCATAACAGCGAGTCTATAAGATGTATTGCACCTATAAAACCTCTCTCGCAATCCCTTTTTATTTTGTTTTTATTCTCTACACGTTGGTCCGGATGGGTTAACTGGATTTGATACTTAATGGGTCTTTACTAGCTTTTTCACAGTGCAGTTTTGATGGGTGAAAGTGAACGAAACATTGGGAAAATAACATGATGCCGTGATGATATCGAATCTTACCTTTTAATATAAATTCTTTCAAAGAGAGAAGCGGAAAGAAAACATACAAGAAATTTATTTGAATATCTAATAACTTATTTCATATATTGTTTATCGGCCCCGTTAGGAATTAGTTTAAAATCCATCTACTCCACCTTCCTTACGGTAATCAGCATTGGCTAACACAAATCCCTTAACTCGTTCTATGCCACATGCTGCGGTATTTGTGCGTCGTATACGTTCTGTTTTATGACCTGTGGATTCTAAGAAGTCGATGTCCTGATGCAACATACCGTATTCATACTGTACAACGTTAGGCAATAATTGATGGTGGAAACGAGGCGCATCTATGGCTTGTTTAATAGTTTGATTTAACCATAATATACGTACAAGTATTTCTATTAATGTGGATATTATGCGAGTACCGCCAGCTGCGCCAAGCACCAAACGTACATCGCCAGTGTGACGATCGGTAACTATTAATGGTGTCATCGAGGATGTCGGCTGGGTGCCCGGTTTAATTCGATTACATTCGGGAACATTTGGTAAGTCAAAATAGTTTTCGAATTTATCTACACTAAAATCGGACATAGCATTATTATAAAGTATGCCTGTACGAGAACCCATGCGGCCACTTCCAAAACTGGAACAAATAATAGAATATAAGAATACAAAGGTAAAAGAGAACCGATATTGAACTGAAACTTACTAGAAATTTAAAGAGCTCGTCGCAGAGACAGCATCGCCATTGGGACCTAATAGACTTAATTGGGCCGTACCATAATCAGTCTTAGCCATAAGATCCACGTTAGCTCCGTAAAATTTAATATCATCAAAAGTTTGCAAATCGTTTATACGCTCAGCAAATGATTTCGCATAATGAGCTGATGTCAGATTGTAGAGTACCTGGAAGTGAATGACCCTCAAGCTCCTGAAGCTTAGAATTTTGTGATTTATTTTAATAAATTACCATTTCATCCATTTCCACATCATATTCCCAACGTTTAACAAATCCAAATTTAAAAGCTTCTATTAGACGATGCATGTCCAAAGATCTTAGTTCAGAAGAACGGCTAAATTCATCTTTAAAATTTCCTAAAATATTCATTATAAAAGCCATAACATGCCCACTGCCGGGAGATGGCGGCAAATGTATTGTTACATTATCCAAGTCCACAGTTATAGCATCTCGAACTTTAGCTTTATAAGATTGAAGATCGGCTTTTGTTATTGGTGAACCCATGGCTTCTAAATCTTCTGTAATGCGATAAGATAATGTCCCATTATAAAAACTACTCGGTCCTTCTTCGGCTAGAATTTTCAAAGTATTGCATAATACTTTTGGTATTTTAATGTGCTGACCAATTCGATAAAAATTATTATTGGAAGGATCTACAAACATTCGACTTAATAATTTATCTTGTCGTATCATTTGTTCGTTTAGAAATAAGGCATCGTGCTGATGATGTGTGAGATAATAACCCACATGGCATAGATCTAGACAAGGTTTCACAATATAATACCAAGCTAAGGTTCCGTAACGGCTATGGGCCTCATGGTAAGCGGCCACTTCACCGGGGACCCCTATAGCTAGTGGTGAACGAGCCAACATTGAAGCATTCTCCAATTTAGTTATATCATTTAGCTTAACATTCATAGAAGCTCGTTCTCTTCCGATTATGCTGACGGCCTTACGTTTTTCATATGAATAAAATGTTATTAGTATACCGCCTCCTAAGCCCATGCTTTGCATAGTTAACAGACCATTACATAGTAAGGAACCAATGGCTGCATCGATGGCATTACCGCCTTGTTGCATAAGGACACTGTTCGATTGGATATGCATTTTACCACATTTAAAAGCTTAATAAATTATTAATTAAATATTAATTAGTTACCTTCCTATATTACTGCAAGCACTTTGATCAGAGCATACGGCCGCCTTCTGATAAATATGTAAAGTAGATCGGGATGGTGGTTGAGGTATTTCCACATTTGGTGGTATGAGTCTCTCTCTATTATATTGACGACTTGCAGTCTCTTCTTGGTTATCTTCTATTGAGGTATTTCTTAATTCAGATAAAAACGAAATTATATAAACAATTGCTTTGCTCACTCACTTTGATACCAATGGTATAACCCATAGGCTAAAAATAAACTCGTTAGAAATCTTAACCACATATTTTGAAGATTTTGTTTATGTTATTTAATATTATTCATGTTTTCAATAGATTGCTTCTATTATCCTTTGATTGTCGAAAAGTAGGCATGCGCTGCTCACGTCAATAATAATCATTCGCATAAAAGCTCGAAGCTCACTTAAAATCACATGGTATAATTAATGGCTTTAAGACGCTTTCAAATATTGTACGCGGTAATACGAAACGGTTTCAATATTTTATTACCTCAAGGAGAATATAAGTAAAGACGGAATAAAAATATTAGAACAATTTTCAGTTAAAACGAAAGGCCTTTTGAATGTCTCTTCCAAGTTATAGTCAAAACAATATCATGTGCTCTAACTTTATGTCACACTGATAATCTGTTTAACGGCCAAGTTATTATTCGTTTTTCTGTAGGCAATTTTTGGGTTGCTGACCTGATTTTCGATCTATATAAAACGCGACTCGACAAAGTCAAGCTAATTTCATAGACCAGAGGTCTTTTCTCTTCCTCCTTTCTATACTGTTCCAAAAACCAAACCTTTAAATCACTCGATCTGTTTCTGCCAATTCAATTAGATCACTGCTCCTTAAATGATGTAATCACAATGTTATCAAACTTTTCATGAATGAATGCCCGGTCACTTTCATGAATATCCGAAATAACAAAATTTTTTCAAAATAAACTTCCTCTGCCTCCTGCATCTCTTCAGCTTAATTACTATTATAAAATACTGAATCAAACTATCAAATTTAGCTTGTTACCACTAATAAACTGGGACAGTTAGGATCGCAAGGCTGTCTCAGACTTAATTTTTCTTTTGTAATCAATACCGATGACACGTTTGGATTTCGATTAAGCTTTCAGCAATAACTCACATTGAAGCTGTATGATTATTAAATAAGGTTACTAATATTAAAATAACTTATGGGAAGAGTCTTTTTCGTTTTCTTCTTCTTTTAATTCCTCCAAAAGTTGTCATATACACTTAGCGTTTTTCCGCAAATCATTACGGAAAACTGTATGGTGGGAACATGTGTAGAAACTATTTAAATTTATTGAACAAACAAATAAAAATGTCGTGGTGGGCCACAGACAACCATTAAATTTCCCACATAACTTCCCTTAACACGGTTATTCATACAACGACATTTCAAAGTGAGCCGTTATATTGAAAGTGATTAATAAAAAGAGTCCCACCCGAACCATTGCCAATAGCGTTTCCTCTGGGTCAAACCATATTGTACTCAAAATTCGAAACATGTAGACAGACAGACAAGCTTAGAATCACTTCCTGAATTAATATGTATATAACAAAAGGTGAGTCTATCTCGAGCATTTTCGGCTGTCGTATACATCTATGCAAAGTTAATGTATCCTTGTACCACAAGTGGTGTGGGGTATAATAACGCAATGTAATTTGGGCTACGTTTTAGAGGTTTGGGAGGAAGCTAATATTTGATTAAATGACGCTTATAGCGGTTACGGTTTGGATATGTCAGCTTTCAAATACAAAAATGGTAACGCAGTTACTGTCAATAGAATATATTGGACGATTTGGAGCAAACGTGGTTCCAGGAAGATAGTGCAGCAGTCAGTGCATTCCGTGACAGGCTCAATTTATGAGGAGAAAAGTTTAATGTAATGCTAATGTTAAACTGTTAGATATGTCCACCGGCATCAGACGACAGAGATGGTTCAAAACATTGCTATAGCCGAACCAAAATGTTCATACCAAATAGATTATCGAAATACTATTAATCGGCGACTTTTGTCGACCATTTTTGAAAATTGCAATTTTTTGGCATATAACGACTGCTCGAAATAGGACGTTATATGAGTACTTATCGAAAAGTCGGACCGACCGAAACCATTTTCAATAGCTTTGATCCTTTGGTCAACCCACGTTATTGTACCAAAATTCATCATTATTTTTAAAAAATTCGGAAAATTTCGACCTGTACCTTGAACAGATATTAGACGGACAGATAAGCTTAGCTTAATTCAGAAAATCATTCAGAATCGTCCGGTTTATGTTATATACGCCCACACAAACTTAATATACCCTGTACACACAAAAAACTGAACGAATTGGAGGAGAAGGTGTCTATGCAAGACTTGTTTTCTGATTCTAGAAAGCTATTTTTCGAATTTCTGTTTTATTCCCACGCACTTGACCATTAGTGTCAAGTACATGCTGAGATACATAGAAGAAGTAATTGGAAAAAGGTTATACGAGATCCGTTTATCTACGATATACATAGACAAAAGCTAAGAATACAAATCGGTCACATTCGTTTCTGTTAGGTATTAGTTAGCAAGCTTTAGAATATAAATTTCAAAATATTTCAAATACAAGTTTATTGATGCGATCAATAAAAAATATTTATCAAATAAAGGCGTGTATATCAGTGATTGCATACATTTACTTATAAATATATATTTCAATGATTTATATAACTAATATCGAAACTTGTATGTGATAACGTATTACTTCGAACGAGGATTATAAAAAGTATGTGAAAATGGTAAAGCGGGAAAAACAAAAAAATTTCAAATAATTACATAGACTGCGTATGAGAAACTGACGGGTATAAAAATCGTTGTAAAAAAAGCTACACGTTTAGAAGAAAATTTGTAAAAAAGTTTTATATTAAATTAAAAATAATTTTATATTAATTACAATAAATATATGTATGTATGTATGTATATATGTATGTATGTATGTAGGTGCATATGTATACATTTAGCAAAAAGTTGAAAGTTCTTTGAGTTTTTCTTCCATTTTTTTTTCTTTTGTTTTTTGGTTTTTTTTTTTTTTTTTTTTTTATTTATTTTAAAATATCTTTAAAAATTTTGGTATACCTTATGGATTTCGGACTTTGCATTTAGATTAATTAATACTTTTTGGACTTTTAAGAAGATTGATTACGTTAAGAAAATGTGTTTTAAGAAATGTTTTGTAAAAAGAAAGCCTTGAGATGCTTTTGATATATTATATAATGAATTATTTTACGTAAAGCACATTTAGATAATTGAGTTTGTGTAAAACTTTACATTTTTGGTTTAATTTTCAGTTGACATGAATTGAAGGACTTAAAATCCAGCGGTACCGCCCTGCTTACGAAAATCAGCATTTGCGTAAATTGCTGTTTCGTTGCGTACAATACCACAAACCACTGAACCAATGCCAACATACTGTTCAACTTTATGTCCTTTATTTTGCAATAAATTAAGCAGTTCCTTTTAACAATGATAAGAAAATAAATAAGTAATACTTTTAATGTAATAATTTTGTGAAATGATTGTGCGTAAGCTACATACTTCACTAAAGCGATTCTCTTCATATTGCAAAATATTCGGAACTAGTTGATGATGAAAACGAGGCGCGTCAATCGCTTCTTTGATATCTTGGTTAAACCATAATACGCGAGCCATTACTTCCACAATGGCTGATATGATTTTGGACCCACCTGCAGCTCCTATAATCATACGCACGTTACCCGCGTCGTCAGTTAAAATCATTGGGGACATCGAAGACATGGGCCGTTTCTGAGGATCTATAAAATTGGTGGGCGATGCTGGTAAATCAAAAATATCTTTACGATCTGGCACTGAAAAATCCAACATGCCGCTATTAAACAAAATGCCCGTACGTCTGCCCACATGAACAGAACCAAAACTATTACAAAATTTAATAATTCACGTTAATATAATTTACATTATTTGATAATTTAAAGATTTACTATTCATTAATTGAACTGGTGACTGAAACCGCATCGCCATTCGGTGCCAATACTGACAAATGGCTTGTACCCGCGTCATCCTCACCCGAAAACTGAGCACCATATTCGTAAACGTTTTTCAGCACCGATGAGTTGCTAATCAAAGCCCGCATTTGCATACCCGTTTCCGGATTAGTTAAACGACTTACCAACTATATATATATATGTAATTATAACGTCAAGTGCATTTACTTCTTTATATAATAAATTGCATTTACCTCTCTAACATCATTGAATCGTACATCGCCGAGTTCCCAACGCTTGGCGAAACTAAATTTCATTGCCTCGACCATGCGATGTATGGTGTAGGCTTCGTGTTGTCCATCTCTTAAATCATTTCGGGTAAAATTAAAACCTTCAAGAATGCTTAAAATATTGGCGACTATAGTGCCACTGCTTATCGGTGGTACCGCATACAAAATATCATTGCCCAACTGCATCGTTATCGAGCTCACCATATCTGCTCTATAGGATTCCAAATCGTCTGAAGTAACTATACTGCCTAAATCTTCTAAATCATCTGCAACCATTTTAGCTAAGGTGCCATTATAGAAATCTAATGGACCGTTTTCAGCTAATAATTCATACGTTTTGCATAACTCTTTCAGTGGCTGTAATTTTGTACCTAAAGGATGGATCTCGTCTGCGGTTTCATTAAATAACATTTTTCTAAAATTCAATAAAATTTCTTTTAATATTCTTTTATCTTTTTTACTTTTCATATAATTTACCTCAATATTTCATTCTCTTTAATGATATTTAACCGGTGTTTTGCCGATCGCATCATATGTTTATTCATATAAAAACCTTCTCGGCAAAGTTTTATAGACGGTTCGACAAGTTTCTTCCAGGGTAATTTGCCAAACTTCTCATGGGCTCGATGATAACCCTTTATTTCACCGGGTACCGCTATGACTAAAGCCCCATATTCGGATACATTCTTTTTATCGTTAAACATATCCTGCGATGCTGCGTACGGTGCCACTTCGCGGGCATCCACCGAGAAAGCCTGTTGACGTTCTTTGATATAAATGTTCATAAGCATTCCACCACCAATTCCCATACTGTGCAGGGTCGTGATACCATTACATAGCATAGCGGCTATTGTCGCATCTACCACAGATCCGTCCATCTGTAATATGTGACTGAAGACAACAAATTAAAAACATTTGTTATACATAATTAATTAATCGTTTGCTCTTAATTCCAAGGCCAACGTTGGTTCTTATTCTATCATATAATCTTCTTTACTGAACGATGATTGTCCTACATCCCATAAATATGTTACGTGTCGTTGCACGTTTACACTACCTCAAGATGCGCTTCCAAGGTATCGAAAGCTATACGTGTAGCCTCAGTCAAGGTAACATTGTGAGCTGTTTTAGCGGTGGCTGTTCACCGGTCAATACATCTATCTTTTTGTCTGTTGGCCGCTGCCGCAAAAATTTAAATCGGAAGTTGAAAGTTGGCTTATGTACATGTAATTACCACAGATCAAGACATAAAATAGGTGTAATCAGCTTCACCTTGTAATCCATAACAGAAGCTAACGTAAAACTAATAGCAAATATTTCTCAAGACTTTTCAATCCTTAATTGCATTGATGTGATTTGTTCGCAATAGGCGAAAAGCTTCACCTGCAACGTAAGGTGATGTATACCGGGCACGCAAATATGAAACCGGAATCTGCTGATGGATGACTTTAGCTGCTGTGTACAGAGAACGAACACGTCGAAAGCCATATTGTTTTCCTAGGTTTGACATCTGTCAACATTAGCTAAGCGTAACATTACCATACATCGGAACGCGAATATACTTTTACTAATAATGAAAATATTGGGTTTCGTTTCGTAGCTGGAGATGAAATGATGTGGATCTGTCTTGAAAATTCCAAATCTAAAAATGACTATCCACATCTGCGGACTGTGAGACTGAATCGCTTCGGGAGGAAGATGATAATTTATGTTTGATGGAACAAGAAGTGTCTAGTGAAACGGTTGATACGAAATGCTACTAACATTAATTACTCGATTTGAACCATTGGCTGCACATTTTCTTTTTGCCTATAGCATTTGTGCTACAGGGGCAAACTACTGTTTGTGCGGATGTATACAACGTATAGAAAGACTTGGGATAGACGCATCTTTTATTAAGAAAGTGAATCTGAATTGATTTAAGCTTGTCTGTCCATCTGTCTGGCTGTTTTTTTTTGTGTTCAAGGCACAAATCGCAATTTTTAAGATATCTTGGTGATATTTGGTAAATCGATGTGTTTTATTTCGAGGACACAAATTGCTGCCAAATGATTGAGGTCGTGCCATTCTTTCCTACTTGGTAATTCTCGTATAAAGTTTTATTTTGAAACGTCATTATATGAATCTGTTAAATGTTCTAATTTGTGGCCGCGTGCCTATAGGAGATTACAGTTCGCTAATTAAAAATAGACTGAAATCTTCCTGGCGAATATTGGCTGTCGCGAAACATGAAATGAAATACTAACGACTTTTGGTACTACTGTGAGACCTTGAAGTATGACAACGAACTTTTTAACAATTGACTCTCTGAGTTATATGATCTCATGATGCCTTTTTTGTAGATTGTCTGCGTTGTGTAAATTAAGGTTCCGTTAAGTTGAAGTAAGTAAGTAGTTGTAATAACTGGGAAAAAGAGGAATACTGAACTTGCAACATGAAAAGAAATGAGAACAAAACAAGAAAGAATATTATAGTTGAGCAGGGTCGATCTTTACATACTTTATACCGTTTTTCTCTCCTCTTGTTGCTGATAATACATTGAAAATTATAAATTATTTTTGTGTGAAGGCATATTTTTCATGAAAGACCGCATATTTTAGGATGCCGAGAATATTACATGACGTGACTCCAATTTGGTAAACTTAATTTGCTTCCTAAAAATTTCATTATTTTTCACCTATTTCCGTAATAAAAAAGTACAAAGGGGACTTTCTTGCCATATAAGGGCTTGCCTTTCATGATAAGCCCAGTAAACGATGGTGTCTAAAAAAAAAAACTTTTGTGAACCAAATTCCCTAAGGTTCATTTTTTTTGCTGACTTGCTACTATAGAGCAATTTTCATCATAAAATGTTAAAATTAAACTTTTTTCTAAAGGTCTTAGTATCCATCTATATGGTTAAGATTGCGCCCGCTTACCTTCTATTTCAAGTTACTATTCTGGATTAATTTTCAATAAGGAGTATTGAAAATTAGACATATTTACTACATAAAGATAGAGTTTTCTTAGTATGGGTCATATGGGAGGGAATTCAAAATATTGCACCGTAGAATTCAAAGTATTTCACAGCAATGTGATGTCGATCAAGAAATTTTGAAAATTGCAATTTTTTTCATATAATAAATTGCGCCACATCGGGAGCGGTCGCAGAAGCGGTCCGATTCAGCCATTTGTCCTTTAGCCAAAGCACATCAATTACCAACCTTAATAACAATATCTCCAAAATTGCGACCTGTAAACTGAATACATAACCAAATATCACACGGACAGACGATTCAATTTCAACAATTTTGATTGCTTTAACTTCGCTCTGAGGGGGTAGGGTCCTTCGCTCCCTAGAGAGTAGCATTGGATTTTTAATAAGGCTTTTACCACATTCTAATCATCATTGGGTCTTCCACAACAATCACGGAGTGGAAGAGAACGAGTGTTTAGGCTATCAATGCATTGATTATCAATGCACGCAATATTTCTCGTGTTTATATTAAAACGTTACGAAAAAGGAAAATGCATCAACATGCTTAAACGGAAAGCGTGGATAAAGTTGTAGAAACCGAAAGATAATCGCTATTCGCATAAATCGAAATAAAAAATGAAAGTTAGATTTTTTAAGGAATCATTATTAAATACTTATAAATAACAGCTTAAAAAATAAGTTGCGTTTATTAGGGGTAGCTTTTTGCTCATACTCTTCAGAGTCTAAAAGAATTATTAAATAGACTTAAGAAGACCCCATTTATAACGGTGCCTTGTATATATATATATATATATATTCTTCCATTGTTTATATTTAATGTTGTAAATGCTAAGCAAAGCAAAAATTTTAATACGATTCGAATTGTATTGAATATGAAAATTGCAACATTATGCGATAATTTTCTCAAATTTTATAAAATCTGTATACTAAACTCTACTAATTCGGTAATTTAATAATATTAACATTGTCTGTCAGTTACGTCTATTATGTTAGATGACAGACTTACTTACTGACTTATTTACTTACCTGCCAATTTTACTGCAGATATGCCTATCCGAACAGACAGCAGCATTTTGATATACGCCCAATTTAGAGATGTAATGCTCGTCAGTTATTGGAATGTCTTTGAGGGTGATAGTGGCAGGCGATGATGGGGAAGATGATGTCAATGTATCACTGCCGATTTCTGTTTCTGATACTATTGTAGTCGCCGACGAGGAGATTGATGGCGTTGCTTCGCCGCCGGATGATGTTGAAATGCTTGTTGTGGTGGGTGACGTAGATTGGGTATCGGAGGTTGACTCATTGTTATTATGACTTAAATCAGTTACCGCGGCGACCAATGTACTGTTTATAATATTGCTCGCATTGTTGTTGATATTGCCGCCGCTTTGTAGTGAACTTGTTGACGCAGACGCCGCCTGCTCGCTGCCATCATCTGACGATAAAAGAGTAGAATTAAAGGATAAGGGTAAACTAAAACTAGGAGGCTCAGTGGTTAAAGTGACTATTGTAGGGGGGCTTTGCTTATAATTCTGGGGTGTAGTGATTGTGGTGATGTTTGAGTTTGTGCTAGTGCTTGTGTTTGTTGTTGTCGATTTTGTTGTTGTTTTTGTTACTGTAGATGATGTTGTGCCTGTTGATTTGGGCCAATCTATAAAGAAATTGCAAGAGAATGGAAAACAGCCAAGCACCGCAGAAAGATAAAAAAAAATATATATATATATACATATATGTATCAACAAGAAAGGAAATTGAAAAAAATCAAATTTTATTCAGTTTAATTTGATTTTTTACCAAAAAGCATTAAGCGAACCATAATAATAGAAAATGAGGGGAAAGAAAAAAGAAGAAAAAAAAAAAAAAAACGAAATATATTTAATAAAATTTTTTTTTTTGTTTTGCGAGAAAATTTTTTTTATAATTTCTTTATACTTATATCTAAAAGGATTTTCGGGTATATTTTTTTTTTTTTTTTTTTTTTTTTTCATGCCGGATTTTATTTATTCAACTTACCGCTAAAACATAAACTGATAATCACATAACAAAACAAAGCTATACCAATGAAGCAAATAATGCCAATGGTAAATTTTTTCATCCAATGCAATAACTTAACCCGCCTAAAATAATAATATGACAATAAATGAGATATTTTGAACCTTAAGTGTACAGTCTATAATCTACCTTTCTTCTCGTCTCGCCTCTTCGGCGGTGGCTGTATCTTGTATAAATTCACCACCATTTTTCTCTTCATCATCTGTTACGGATTTTAAAGGAATTTTATTCATCGCATCATCATTGCTGTGGACCATTTTTAAGCCATCAGTATTTCTATGAATTAAAAGTAAGAAAATTAAATATTTTCTCCTAAAACCATGCTTTAATAATGATGAAGAAAAAAAAAAAAAAAAAAAAAAAAAAAAAATTTTTTAAATTATTTGTTCTTCTCTTTTCTGTTTTAAATATACTTAAATACTAAAGAAATTAAATCACAACCACTACCATAAGCGTCGGCATCTAAATACAAACTATTCATGAAATGCAATTGAAACATATTTAACGAACAACATACACCTGAAACACAAGCACAAGTAAATAATAGAAGCTATGTGTATCCCTGTCTGTAATTGTGGGTGGGTGGATGTGTGAGTACACCTAGACGTAGAGCGGTACGTCTGTGTTACGAGGCGACCGAACTCAATGTTTGTATTGTCGGCATTTTTAGTCTCGTTATTGCTCTTGTTGTTGTTGCGTAAAGAGCAGTTAGTGTTATTTCTAGAGTTGCCAAATCCAATGAAACTTGAATCTGTATTAGTATATAAGGTAGGGGTGGTGAGAGTAACATTATAAACTAATTTTTATTCAATCACGATTGTCGACTTCCTTAGTGTTACATTATTTTAGGAAATATTCTTGATTTTAAAATATAATGATAATTTCAGCGCTTTAGCAGATCAACCTTCCAATTAGCTATGTGACTTTTCTTTTCAAATGTGTGCCAAGTTTTTGTCTCTTTATTGCCTTTTGACATTACGTTGCGGTTAATGCTCTATTCTGTTTTAACATATCCATATTTCGTAGCCTGCTGCTTAGTCATAGAGTAGTACATGCAGTAAATTTGTGGTTATGATAGGCCTCAACACTGTCCAGAGTGGACTTATTGAGCCACACACAATAAACATATCTTTTTTGTCCAGCGTAGGTTACGCTCCTAGCTTATTGGAATTGCATAGCTCTCTGGAGGGTGCCGTATACGCAAAATTAATCCGTGTGTCATCGGGCACCGTGGGGTTAAGCCATCAAGGTAGTGTACCTACGTTAAACCACCAAAGATATCTGACCTGCTTTAATATGATTATCATATATCAATTGATCAATCTCTTGGCAGCGGACGAAATAAATTTTTCTCGTTCTATTCTTACACTAAAGCCAACGGTTAGAAAGACAATCTCAAATAGAAAACAAAAATTATAGTAGGAATGCGTCCGTCGCCTTTTCAAAATCTTGAATACTTCATTATAAATGATGTGAGATTGGCCACCAGCCAAATGTGGTACTACATTGTATAAAACAATTGGATCATCTAATTAATATATTGATGGTACTATAGTGGAAAGGGTCTAGTGAATGAGCTTTGAATTGGACCCCAAACCATATCTAATTTCTTTCGAAAATAATACGATATAAAATAATTAAATTGACGCGAGAGGCGATTATTTGTTTAGTGTTTAAGGCATTTAGCGCATTAGCTCCAGATCTAGGGCTTTTCCCCTTAAGAGAGTTTTTTTTTTTGTAATTAACTTCTTTATAAATGGAAATCGATGTTTGTAAGTAGATGCATAATCTGATGCGTTGTCAGAAGCTTCCGTGGCTAAATAATCGATACTGTTCACTTTTTCAATTATGAAAGCAATGTATTGCCCATAAATTCCTACTATTTTGTCTGTATATGTAATAATGGCAGCTCACTTCTCTCTTAGGCCATATACATATAATAAATACATTTACAATATTGCAACAATTGTTTTATTCATTTACTTCACAGACAGGCATTTTACAAACGATACACACACCCACTTATATTAGTAAATAACGAAGGCAATGAGATGACAGTTAGCACTAACAAAGCCGTTTACAAAGCTTACAACATATGAAACTTCATCAAGTCGACGCAAGTCTGTATGCAAATGAATGCTTAATAGGAGTGCATATCTGCATATGTATTTGTGCATGTTTGAATATCTGTCTGTGTATGCATTGCAATAGAAATTGTGACAACTGTTCCTGGGTTATATAGAAAATGAGGACATTTCGCAAGTATTGGCAAGTGGGTCAATTCATACGAGAGTAAAATGGGGGGAAAAAACGTAACAAGGAAGAAGGTTTTTTTCGCCTAACAGTGAATCTTGAGTGCCCGTCATCTGAAGTAAACGCATGAACATGGTTGAGTGCGTTTTTTAATTGCAGCTATCTAAGTTGTTTGATGTAAATATTACTTTAATAGGTATGCTATGTAGTTTACATTGCTTCAATTTTTATTGTTTTATTTATTTTTTTGCATTTTTTTTTTTTGTTTACAGCCACCGCGATAGAATAGGCCGACCGATCGCCATTCGCATGGCTAACTGAAGGTCGAAATGTTGCCGATAATGAATGTTACATAGAACTATATAAAAATTATTAATGCCTATCTCTGTCTTGACGTAATAGACGCAATAGCGAAATCAGTACACCTTCGCTTTCAAGTACTGCAACTATAATAAGAGAGAAAAAATTGAAAATGTAAAAAAGAAAAATTGGAAATAATCAGATTTTTTTATATATATATTTTGTAATTATGTCAAAGGAAGTATGTGAATATATAAAGAACATATTCATATGAAAACATAAAGTAGGCAGAACCTACATATGCTTAGTGTTGACTCTATTATATCGTAAATTTTCTTTTTTCTTTGTATGCGTTTACATGAAAGAGGTTTTACTTTCTCACATGAGTATACAGTTTATAACCAAACTGTTGGAAATTTCCTTAAAAATAAATTTAAAATAATCTCTGTGACTTTTAGTTGCGTACATTTAAGTAAAATTGCTAAGCAGTCTTAATCGACTGCGTGTTAGGACCGCAATAACCAGTAAACCGGAAAGCAGTGATTAATCATTTTCAACATGCTTAAGATCTTTTTGTTTAATTATTTTATGGTTATATCGCTTTTTGAGTTTGCATCCATGATTTCGGATTATTTATCGACTTAAGGTTATATCGCAGCATTTTAGCAGCATTTTTCGAATTTCCAGTTGCAAAAATGTATCAATTAAAGCTGGAATAACGCTTACTTCATATTTAGAACTCATTCAAGATTACATTATATCATCTAAGACTAAATTGCGTTCGTTTAAATTGGCCAAGTTATCGAACGATGACATCTTGTGAAAGAGATTTAATTGGCATGTGGCCTTTGCGGTCGCCCTGTGTGTATAACGTGCGGCAAAGCGAAGGGTGTGAGAGAAGTGTTCCGATTGTACATCCAATATTCGATGAAAAGTTCAATTTGTTGATATTCTTTGTTGTCTGCAATATTGCAACAACACAAACAAAAATGTTCAGGCAATCAGGAAAACGGTGGAAGTCTTCAAACCCATGTCCAATGAGATAAGTCTTTGGTGAAAAAGTCTACAAGTTAGCAAAGCTTAGAACAATAAAAATTCACAGACTCCTTTCCTGTCTTTTATATGTATTAGAGCATATTTCTTTGTAGTCTTTAAATGGAAGATAAAGAGATATATTTCTCATCGCGTCTATTAACAAGAATAGGCTAAATTGTTTCGGGAGAAATTTCATTAACGCCTAACGAAATTTTGAATTAATACGCTTTGAGCAAAGATTTTGATACGCTTAAAAAAAAAAAGTCTCAAAGCCTCTCAAAGTCTCTTCCCTCTCTTATTAATGTACTGTAGATGTAATTGTCAAAGAACATACAATAAATTAAGCGTAAAGAAGCAAATTGCAGCATTGTCCATAACAATTGCTGCGATTATAATCATTAAGACATCACCTATTAAGTTCTTAGAACGATATAGTCATGCTACATCTGTATATTATCCTACGAACTTTTCGAGTGATGCATTATTATGCGTATAGCTGCAGAGCATGATATTAGAAGCGAAACAATTGTTGTGTTTTATTTGCTTATTTATATAAGATTTATGCTTATTACTATTACATTATACAATGTAGAGATTATTGGTATAGAGAATTGTTTCTCTCGCCAGTGTAAGGTTATATATGTAAGCCTGCCTGGCAGCAATTAAATGTTTATTTATGGTAAAGTAATTGAGGCTGCGTGATTTTTTAGACGATACAACACACACTCATATAACTTTAGGACTCCATAAGCCATAGCCGTAGTAGTAGTAGTAGTAGTAGTAGTAGTAGTAGTAGTAGTAGTCGTAGCAGTTAAATGTAAGAATTTTAAATCTTTAAAAAGTTTTGCTTTAATTCAGTTGAAAAGTTTGACCGATAAAATAAGTAAAATTTTCTATTAGATTTAGTTTGAGAGTACTTCTAAAGTACTAAAAGGAATTACGCGCACATAAATAAACAATAAATACATATATATCCATAAGCATTTGACCGACTATCTAATACTAGGAAACGAATTTTAAAAATATTTATATACGATACGTTGCGTTTCTGCAATTGCAAAGAATAGTCTTAACCAGATATGACGAAAACAATAGTAAGTTATAAATAAAAGCCGGTAAAAAGCGGTCTATTCTGTAATATGGATAAGGAAGGATAGGCAAGCTATATTCGTCTTAGTTTGAAGCCAATATAATACATTCGCAATTTCTTTTGTTATATGAGGGCGCATCAATTGGTCCGTTAATCCTATTTTGTGCGTTGTGTTTTTGCTGGCGATAGCAAATATTTTTGATGTGCTTCCTATGATATAGTATAGTTTCTTGTCCATTGTTAGTAAGTTTTTATACGCACGCTGATTATCCAAGACTTTTTTACGAGCTTTGAAAAATATCTGCTTTAAATTGTAGTTTATAACTTTTTAAATATTTCGGACAAGTCACGCCTATTATCAAAGTGACTTTCTAGACTGAAGTTGTACAAAACTTTTATAATTAAATTTTATGTCTTACGATTTTAAGGACTAATTTTGGTCCGATCCAATCAGGTCAAAAAATCTCAATCTGTAGGTTGAACGCGAAAATAATTTGAGAGCATCTAGAGGAGCAGAAGGACAGACAAGGTTAAATCTATTCGGGCAATAATTCTGTATCGTTTGCTTTAACAAAATGTGGATGCGTAGTATGTGAAA